TTTGTTGATAAGAACTAATCATAGGGTCAATCTTGAGTGATCATGATATACAGTTCTCTGTAATACATGATTACACACTATTGTGTAGTGGATAACAGTAGAACTATACTACAAAGCACAGACCCTATATACAATATATAGGGTCAGTGTACAAAGGAAGCCACAAAAATGAATAGCAATTATTATACTATACAGACATCTATACAGATTTAGATGATTTATTGTCAAAGTAAACCATAAAGAAATATAAAATGGAATTGGTTTTAATGCAGGTTAATATTTACAAATAAATGTCAACAAAAGCTGAGCTTGCTGTTTGTAGTTGATTCCACAATCAATATTTAGGGGGTTGGTAGAGGGCGCCACAATTACCCAACGCAGGCAATAAAGATTTCCACACGACTACCATTAAAACAATGGTATATTTATTTGGCTTCTCTCTGCTGATCTGGTGACTAAGCATAAAACAACAATATCTAATTAACATCAGTTAATTACATCATGTAAACAGTAATCATAAACATAATACATACAAAGTACCAAGAATTGCAAGTGAATCGTCTTCAGAGATCATAATTCAGTATATTGTAGAAATGTATAAATTTACTGCAAAGAACCATCGGATTGAAAGTGGATTATTAAACATTATCAATTCAATATAAGAGTTTCATTCAGTAATCGAGTACAATATTAATAAAGCAAAGCATGACTCATAACCATAATATAATAATAAGAACTGCAGTGTCAGTCAATATTATAGAGTACACTTACGAAACTATGGCGCAACTATCCAATAATAAGCAATATGCACTCATCTGCCATCACAATGTTTTTAGGACTGTACATCATCTAATACATAAAACAAATCTGTTTGATAATATACTCAGTAGTGACACTGTTAGATACATGGGTATCATCAAATCATGAACCCATCGGCTTAAACAATAAATCAACATTTGCCGGTATACTTGAAAAATAAATCACCAAAAATACTGTGTTAATCATTAGGCACATTTACTATAGATTAACCTTCGAGACATGTGAAATAATCACAGCAATATAATATATAATAACACTATCGACAGACTTGTAGACCTTTATAATACACGCTGCTATATGCCAATGGGCGCAGCCATATTTGATTATGTTTTAAGATGACCTTTGACATGAGCGTGAAACAATCAAAGAGAACAGAGATGCCCATTTTACAGCAGGATGCAGGCTAAGACAATGTATGCCGTACAATACATATAACTCAAATAACATTAAACTGCATAAATCAATCTTACTCATGCTATGTCATAACTTTAGGTTAAATTGGGCAGTTGTTACCAACTTACCACTACAACCAATACTTTAGCATAGTAAATTTAAATACCTAATACTGTAACTTGTTTACACCAAAGGATCAAGAACAAGCAGTTAGAACAAAGGAATATACAAGGCAGTTGTATCCTTGTTAAACTTCACCTTAGTTAGGCTGTATTCATATAACAAGAGACTTTCAATGCATTAAAGGCAGTAATTAATACACTAAGTAACTAATCTTATAACACTAAAAATATAAAAGGTAAAATAAAACATACCATAAATGTACTTGAATCACATAATAAGTGAGTGGTCAAACACACGTCTGATCCCGATCACATTCAGGAGGCCACTGATTCGCGCTAATTTTTTAGACGCTACTGACCCACGCTATCATTATGTAATGAGTGACGACATACAAATTTCTGCCCTCTATAATGGGTTAAGAAACCTTTTACACTGTTAATCATATATAGTAATAACAATTATACTGTACATACATATCAGATTCAGATAAGTTATTGTCAAAGTGTACATGAAAATCTATAAATTTATTAGGTTGTATACAGATTAAAATTCATGATGAATGCAAAAAAAAAAAGCCAAACTTAACTACCTAAATCATATACAGTATATTCTTTTTTATGATGATGAAATAATAAAATGCTTACAAACCTCGTTTTAAATATATCCCTATCCCACTACTTTGAATCAGATTATTTACGCAGATTCAAGTTTATAAGAAAAATTAAATATATACCAGAATAATCAATATGACTCAGTGCATCTTATTCATTTAATGGATGAATGCCCATAGGTGTATTTATAATATACACTCTGTTGTGTGCTTGTTAGGTTTTTTTTTATACAGATAAACCAGAAAAAATATACAGGTACTAAAGAAAGAATAAACAAACTTGCAAATATCAAAATTTATGGAAATCAAAGAAATACAAGTTGATAGCAGGGGCATACCGTGGGGAGTCGATGGGTGCTGTCGACCCCCCATTTTAAAGAAAGTGCCCTTTAAATTTGCTTGCTTCACTCACAAATAACGCACCCCGCGAATTCTGAAAGCTTCGCTAAATTGCTCCGAGTTCAGCTTGCCCCCTGCGCTTTCGTTTTGACCCCCCCCCCTTTAGATTTTTCACCGTACGCCCCTGGATAGGCTGTACAAAAAAGCCCCAATAGATTGAATTTTTAACATCAATATGCAAGAAAGTAACATGTATATGCATTATATGATTAAAAACTTACACTACAAAAATATAAAATCATAAGATCAATAGTGTGTTATTCAAATTTGATGAGAACTACACTATAAACAGTTGAGGTTGGCAGATTACAGTATTAATGTTTTCAGTTTAATAACTT